AGAAGAAGACTTGGACATAAAGAAGACCTCTATAAGTCTTCTGAATATGATAACTGGATTCCTACCCAATTATATTAATTCCACATATTAGAAATGTAACAATACAAATTTGACAAGTAATAAGAAGCATGTATTGCCAAGCTGAGAGAAACTTCTTAAAAAAATGGCTCAGACTGGGCCCCAAGGTGTGAAAGGACCTAGTGGGATCACCATATTCCAGAGTTTGGGCCTCAGGTTTTCAGATTTAGAATTCAACTCTATCAGCACAAAGAGAGACGGTCAGATTGTGGAAAATTGGCAAGAGTATTACAAATCATCCAGAATCCTAATTCCCTAAATTAGAGTTGTAGATATTTTCCAGTGACAATATCCTATGTTTGATGTTCAGGACACCTCTCCCTAGAGTCAGGGGATGTGGAACAAAGTATTAGTCACCAGACAGCTGAAAATGAACATGGAGAGAGAGCAAATGGGGTGGGGCGGCAGCGAGGGTATCAGAGACAGAGATATTTCATCCAGGCCAGGGAAAAGTCCTGCCTCACCCCCAGAATACTCTGTGTATCTATTCACTCAACAAATAAAAATTATGCACCTACCATGTGCTCAGCACACCCTGTCACTCTACATTCAAAGTTGATTCTAAGGCAAGCCCTTCCTGCCCCCTCCACAATAACCATCTAATTCAAGCACCATCTTCCTGCACCTGGATTAATGGACTAGGCCCCCTAACTGGTCCCCATTTCTCCTCTTTCCCCACTGCACTCCACTCTTCACCCAGATGTCAGGCTGATCCCTTTAAAATGTAAGTCAGCTTATAATGTACCTCTGCTCAAAATCCTCCGCTGGCTTCCTACCTGTTAGAACACAATCCCAAATCCCCTTCTGGGGCTGCAAGGCCTATGTGATCTCACCCCAGTTCTTCCTGATCTCATTACCCACCACTGGTCACCTTACTCACTCCACTGCAGCTACAGATGCTTTCACCTGCTCCTGGTACATCCCAAGAATGCCTTTACTCAGGACCTCTGCACATACCTCTCCTGTTTGAATAATTTAGTCCCAGATATCTGCATGGCTCATTATGCTCAATACTTAAATGTCTATGCTTTAACTGTCATCTTATTGCAGCATCTGAAACAGCATCCTTCCATGAACTTTTTGTCCCTTTCCCCTGAAGTGTCTGTCCTTAACTCTCTTGACAAGTTTTCTGTGTCCCTGAGTAAAAAGGTAAGCTCCATGAATATTACCTGTTTTGGTTCATTGCTATACCCTCAACACCTAGAACATTTCCTGGAATATGGTAAGTTCTTCAAAAGTATTTGCGGACTTAAGAATGAATACATCAAGATTGTGCAATAATTTTGGTCACTATAGGGGAGTATTGTTTGGTGACTTGGGACTTTTCTCCGGTCTGGATAAAAAAGTCTTTCAGAACTCTTAATCTCCCTTTGCTTTCAGATGAACTAGATGAGGTATGTGATAGAACAAGAGGGATCAAGGTGAAACCAAGATTTTTAGTATGAGCAAATGGAAGAATGGAGCTCCGTTTATTGAGTCAGGGACAACTATGGGAGGAGCAGATTTGGGGGCTGGACACCGAAAATCAACAGTTCATTTTTGAACATACTAACTTTAAGATGCCCATTGGCTATCCAGTGGAGATGTTGAATAGGCAGTTAGATATAAGAGTCTACAGATCAAGGGAGAGGTCCAGGTAGGGTATATAAATTTGGCAACATCTGGAAGGTGTTTAAAAGCATGGAACTGTGTCAATCCCCTGGGGGTGGGAATCAACAGAAAAGAGAAGTTCTGAGGACTAAACCCTGGGACACTGTAGCATTTAGAATTCAGGGAGATGAAAAAAGACCAGTGCAGGGCACTATAAAGGGGAGCAGGAAAATGATACCAGTTGAAGGAGGATTGGGGTCTAGGAAGAATTTTTTTATATATGAGGAATACTATAATATACTTGAGGCAAAGGCAATGATCCAGTGAAAGGAGGAAAATAAATGATTCAATAGAGATGGACAATTGCCAGAGTGAAGTTCTAGAGTACAGGAGAGGGGCTGGATCCAGTGCAGAGGCAGTGAGACTGGCATTACATAGAAGCACAAACAGCTCCCCAACAGAGCAGAAATTAAGACAGAGTCTACATGTACAGTGCCAGAAGGTGGCAGGCGTTTGTGGAAGTTCTTTTCTGGTTGCTCCTATTTTCTCAGTGAAATAATGGATTTGGGCCATCAGTGATACTCAAGAATCACAGGGTATCAGACATTCAGAGAAATATATTGGGTAGAAGTGAGGGAGTGGGATATTTGAAATTGTATGGTTTTTGAGGGGGTGCAGTTGTTGACGTGAATGCATTCAGGTATGACCACCGGGTGGTTATTGAGATGCAAATGGAGACAAGACCACACATGTGACTGGCCAGGGTATAGATGGATGGCCTTTCCCAATATAACCTGCAGCTGACACATGTGAGTAACATTACTGTTCCTCAGCAACTCCTGTGTGCCAGACAATCTGTGCAGTTCTCTCCTTTGATCCTCACAATAGCTCTATGACAACTCCATGAATCAGAGATCGCTCTCCTCCAATTATTTCATCTGTGTCTCAGACAAAAAAAAAGGTGGGCTCACGAAGATTCGTTAACCAGCTCAGGCTAACACAGCAATATAGATGCAGGATTCAGACCCAGGGCCTCTAAGCCCAAAGCCAGGCTCTTTCCCTTGGCCTGGCCGTACCTCTCCACCTGCATCACCTGTGAGCTTTGATCCATGACTACCAGTTACAAGCGAGTTGGGCCAAGAAGTCTTAAGCCTGAGGTAGAAATCTGAGCCTGAGCCTAGACGTCTCTTTTTCCCTCCTGTAGATTAGTGTCATCTATGGGCATTGGAAACCAACATAAGGAGCAAGTCTAACAGATACAGAGGGAAGTTCTCAGGTTTAGGTTTGCTTGCTCCAGGGTGTGACCTCATTGGCCAGCCCCAGCAGCTACTTTTGTCTTGTTGTAGCAGACAACCCTTGGAAAATCCTCCGGTCCAGGCCAGAGGATTTCTTGGCCATTTACGACCTGGTAACCCCTCCTTCATCTGGAAAGAAAGTCATGCCTGATACCCCATCACTGGTATTCCCAGAGTGTTCTGAAAACCCAGGGCTTTCTATCCCCAGGAGATAATTCACGGAAGTGATAAGGGAAGAAAATACAGACATGAAAGTTTCCACAAAATTTATTTCTTACTTCACTTGAGAGAAATTTGCATGCATTCTTCTTTGTAATAATTCTACTAGGGAGTAGAGACATCCTACCTCTCAGTGCCCCAAATGAGAAAAATAACAGTTGCAATTGAATGTCATCACTGTTAATCATCTAGACCACAGCCATCAGAAGTTTCTGCAATAAAGGAAATGTTCTGTAATTCAGTAGCTACTAGCCACATAGGGTGGCTAATAAATGCAGGTAATACAAGAGGAACTGAATTTCAAATTTTATTTAATTTGAATTCACTTAAATTACAATTTAAGCCATCTGTAGCTAATGAGTACCATACTGGACTGCACAGATCTAGATTATAAAACAAGAGGTCAAGCCACCTCTTCTCTTTGAACACAGTGACCAAGTTTTCCCACAGAACCTTGCTATGAAGATCCTTGCTTAAGTCCTCCTAAGAAAGGAGGGTCTCTGCTGCTCACACCTTTTGAACAAAAGACAGAAACCCCGTGTAATCATATTCTATTACTGCAACAGATTATCACTAAATTCAAAGGTTGAACTGACAATCATTGACTGTCTCACAGTTTCTATAGATGTGAGGTCCAGGTATAGTATAGGTCAACTGGGTTCCTGACTTGGGTCTCATAAGGCCCAAGTCAAGGTGTTGGCAGGGCTGCACTTTTTGTGGAGGCTCTGGAGAAGAATCCACTTCCATCCTCTTTCAGGTTGTTGGCAGAATTCCATTCCTCGTGGTCAAAGTACTGAGGTTTCTGCTTCCTTGCTAACAGTCAGCTGGGGGCTGCCCTTAGCTCTGAAAGGGCTCTCTAGTCCTTGCACATGGCACCTCTGTCTCAGAGCCAGGAACAGCCCATCAAATCCTTCTTGTGCTTGGAATCTCTCTGCCTTCCCCTTTCACCTTCAGCATTTAAGGGCTCATATAATTACATTGGACTCACTCAGAAAATCTCCCTATTTTAAGGTCAACTGATTGGTAACCTTGGTTATATCTGCAAAGCCTATTTTGCTAATTAATGTAACATAACCACAGAAGTAATATCAGGGGGCAGAAATCTTAGGGCCAAAATTCTGCCTATCACAATCAGACAGAGGATGGAGAAACAATAGCTGACAATTATTTAGTGTTTTCTCCAGTAGAAAATAAAAAGGACTTGCTGGAAAAAGTAGTGAACAAAAAAACTCTTGATTCTATTCTGTCTCTTAGACTCTTGAGGTATTTTTCTCATTGCATCATTACAAGAAACTGGCAAAGTGGTGGCCATCCCTGACCTCTGTCAAGGGTCCCCAAATATTTCAGGTTATGCTCTTTGGAGGGTCTTACTCTTCAGAATAGCTTCCAACAGAGAACAGAGAGCTGCTACGCCACCTTGGAGTTCCTGCTCCATCATAGCAGAACCTTCCAGCAATTTCAAACGTTCTTTCTGGTTTAGCCAGTGCTGAGTTAGATATTAAGTCCTGATAAGGATAACCTGGCCTGGAGGCTGTTAATTAATGAACAAACCTTACATGCAAATTGAGCTACTCAGCTCCAGTTAACAAATTCCAGTAAGAAAATGAAGTGAATGGAAAAATACTTCCTTCTAATTAGGTGAAAAGAGACACTGAAGTGTTCAAGTCCTAAACAAAGAGCTGCTTTGTGTCATTCCTCCTCCTGGCAAGGAGAGAGAAAGCTATCTCTGAGCTATGAGTTCTGAGAGAGAATGCTGGGGAAGGATCAGTCTGTTACCTGAAAGAGTGAGTGGAGGGCAAGCTGATGCATTTTCCCAGAGTGAATATACTGGTGGTCTGGGAAGTTCCCATGAGAGAAGTCACTCGGGAGGCCACAATGTTGAGAACATGCAAGAACCAATCCATAGATGGAAAAGGTCACTGGGACAGTCCAAAACTGTCTTCTTAGTATTCACCTATTCTCTGCCCACTGCCTCAGGAACCACTTAAAATATACCTGCAGGTCCAGCCCTGTTACAGACTCTGACAAGCAACAAAAAGAGAGAGGTAAGGAAACTCCTCTACCCAGCTTGCTCCAGAATTCCTATTTGAGAAGGAACTATCTGGTTTAAGAAAATACCTTGAACAGCAAGGTGGGAGTAGAAGGTGAGCACGGAGTTGGCAGGAGTAAACAAGGAAGCAGATCAATTTCTCTGCTTCAAAAATGAAAAGGGACTTGGCTTAGGAGAGAGTGAAGGGGAAGAAAAGAGATGGGGGAGGGAAGAGAAAGAAAGTTAGGCAACACAATGGGAGTCTGGGAATTGGCAGAAATGGCAAAGGGCATTTTTAAGAACAGAATTCTTTGATATTAGCTCAGTAACATCCATGAACCAAGGCTGATTGTAGCTTCCATCAACAGGGAAGTTCTACGACATGTTGCTAACTGCTGCAAGTGGTACCTTAGGAGGAAACCAGGGAGAAGGAGCTAGAGCCTGTGATTAGGTCTGCTTTGGGGTTGAGAAGAACTCACCCAAAAGCGGGAATCAGAGCAGGGAGTGGGGTGGGGGACTTGGGGGACCAGGATAAGTATCAGCCCATAGGATTGTGCCTAACCCGGGGAGGGCACTGTACTCCCCGTAGGATGGAGCTTGAGCCAATCCTAACAGATACTAAGGGGCACCATGAGTCCATCTGACATCTGAGTCACAAAAAGGTTAGATCAGCCACTCACTGATTCAGCACTGAGTTTAGCTTGCTGCCTTTCCTGTCTTGATTTAATATCATAGTCTTCCCAAAGCCTGAGTTTACAGTGTTTCCTTCTTGGACCAACTTTCCAGCTTCATACCTAAATCCCCAGGAACGGGTCTCCTGCCCAGTACTGAACTGGGTGAAGCATGGCTACCTGGCACTGGGAAGCAGTGCTGGGAAGACCCACTGCCATCATGATCACTGCATGGTCACCAGGTCAAGTTGGTCGGGCCAGTGAGTTTAGGTGCTGAATTCTTATCTCTCCAGACCTAAGGATGCTATGGCTGAGGCCCAATGCTTTCAAGGGAACACCAGAGACAAGGGCATGTCACCAACATGAGAAGAGGTCTGGCTAATTTATCAGGACCCATGCCTACATGCACTTCCCCCAGAAGGCCGGGGAACGTGTGTATTTCTCTTCTTTTCAACTCAGGTTTAACAATCCTACCCTCATTATTTGAGGCTGGCTTATGCTGCACAGAACAACTTTACAGCCATATTTCATCCCTTTGGAGCCCTGGGAAGAGGCCTCTCAGTGCTGACGAGACCATAAAAATGAGCTGCACCTTGCCTCAGACACCACCTGGCGCCTTCTCTGGATGGAGTTAGAAACCTCTTACACCAGAGGCCCAGACAGACTCTCCAGACTAGTTCGTACTGCTTTACTGCCTCCACCCTTGATGCCAGCCCCTCTGAGGGGCTTTTTTCTCCATCACCATTACCTCCATCCTCCCCTTGGCTTACCCTTTTATTTTTCTCTCACCCACAGCTCAGCCCTTTCTTCTGACCCTCTGGAACCTTCATCCATTAATAAACTCCCTTCCCGACAAGGTAAGACTTTTTATTGGGCTCTTTTCTCCTCCTGCCTTTAATGGAAATGTGACCCCTGTGGAAGGACACTGTCTTTCCTGCAGCGCCCTGGAAGTGAGGATGTTTATTCTTCCATTCTTCACACACCCCAGAACTATTTGGAAAAAGAGACATATTTACTTTTCTGGCTCTCCATTACCACACCCCAGCTTTTATTCCTCATGCAGTTATAAAAACTCTCTACCCTTTGTCATGGCCATCACTGCCATCTACCCTCTCTAGGTCACCGGCTCAATAGTCACTGGCCCTCAGTCAAGCTCTCTTCCCCAAGTCCTGCCGAGGTTACAGGTGACCGCGACCTCCTCTCCACTTCGCCAGCCAATCTTGAACATGATCACTACTCACAACTGTTTCCACTCTGACAACTTAAGACTCCAATAGCCCACCAAAAACCATTCCCAGTCTATTTTCTAGTTCTCTCTTTTAAGGGAAAAAAGCAAAACCAACTAGTCTTTGACCTCAGTTAGAGTGTTAACCCATGGGTTCCTTTGTTTTATTTTGATCTATCTCCCATCTACTTGCACAGGCTCACCTACTTAGGTGCTATCCATTAAGCCAGTATTTTACCACTGTCTTTCATTGCCCCATTCAGAGATACAAACACGCATACATAGACAAGCTCAACTACAAATGAAACACTAAAAACAATGAACAGTGTTCTATGTAAAATAACTATAATAAAATAACACCTTTACTAATATTGTCATTATCCAGATAATCTTAAAACTTTTCTGCTAGGCTCTGGCTAATATTTAATGACTAACAGGTCTGAACAAAGACACATCACATGCCCATAGGTAAACTCTGCTTGGATTTTAAAAAGCCAAAGATGCTAACATCACCTCCTAGTTGGATTTTGAGCAGTGATGGAGCAGGAGAGCTTAGAAGAACCTATCCAGGAACAATTTAAAACTTTATTATCCAACCACTGTTCCTCCTCTCAGCATTATCCTGATGCCTTGTCTTTTTAAAGAATAACCATAACGTTTTCACAAATTATCTCCATTTCAACCTAAATGTCCATCCATCTTGTATTACTCTTCTTTTATCATAATGCAGAAATATGTCTTAATGTCAAACTATAAAAAGTCACTTATATCGAATATTCTTGCCAAAATACATTAATGCTGACCTTCAAATCAAATCTCTGCAGGGAGCCTTGGCCGTAATGGGGAGGCCTTGCTGTCCAGATGGCAGGAACAATTTTCCTTTCTTCTCTCCTTTGAGCCTATAACCTTCTAGAGTTAAGACCCTGAATCTTATAAGAAGATGACTGTCAAAGTTTGTATCCAGCAAAGGGTTGGACAAATGGTTGCTAGGAGATTAGAAAAAAGAATGGGAATGTAGAGCAAAAAAGCCAGAGATGGGGAAAAGGTAGGCCCAGCAGAAGATCAACAGTAAAAGACAAAAATTCGAGCCAAATGTAACAGACTTAATCAGTTCCAGGCCAGGGGTGGAGGGGCCACAGAAAGAGCCCACTCAAAGAAACGGGTCAACACAGTGAGGGTCACGGGGAAGCAGAGGCTCACTGAGGCCCCTGTTCCCTGAGGCATGGGAGGATAGGAGCATGAACCCAGTCCCAGGGAATGGGGCTAGAGATCAATGTATAAAGTAGGTCCCATCCACCTAGCTGACATAAAAGGACAAGGCTTTCTACCCTGACATGCCATGTGGGATGCCAGTGACCTGGGCACCCAGGCATAGGAGGGCTTGGGAGGAATTAGCCCACTTCCTGATGGAGGATGTTGTGGATTAAATGAAAGTTCCTGTGTCCAGGATTCTCACCTGGCCCTGGTTGGCTAGCTCACTATGCACATGTAAGCAATACGTTGCTACTGACTCTATATAAAGAGCCCTGCCCAATGCTCTGGGCGACACGGTGGCAGGGCTGCAAGGCTGCAGGAGAGCAGAGCAGAGGCTGGAGTGGTGACAGCGCCAAGGACAGAAGCCCAGAGGATGGCTGTGCGGGCCAAGAGGCCCAGAGGCAGAGACCAGCTTGCTGCACGCAGACTTGCTCTGAGTAGATGGGATTTTAGTGATTGACCTGCCACTGTGGAAATAAAGTTGGGTACAACCCTTTCACCCCAAGAACATTCTACTGTCATTTCTTTGGTCACATTGAATCCATAGTGAACTTGCCCGGGGCTGAAATCCATTGGAAAGACAGATGTTTATAGGAAAGCTGGTCCCTCTGCCTTCAGGATTAAAAGCAGCCAAAAATTATGACTAACTACCTCTGATTTGTGAGACAAAAACTATTGATCTGTGCCAGTCTGTTTTTGAAAGGGGTGGTACTCATCAACAGTTTTGATGGTACATTGGGGTAAAGACTAATAATCCTTCATTCACTCATGGAACATTTCCTGAAAAAATAACATGCGCTAAAATGCTGGACTAGGTGCTAAGGAAACAAAAATAAATAAGACAAGGACAAAAATATTAACATATATGTACTCACAGCATCCTCCTCCCCTCCTATCAACAGCCTGTTTAAGGAGAGAGAACATTTGAGTAAGGCTGGAGTTGAGGTGGTAAGAACATGGGAAGCAGGTGGATCGGGGAGTAGACTTGGGCAAACAGCAGCGAAGGCCTGAATAGCCCAGGACCTATGTGTGCACGCGCATGTGTTTGTGTGCACACGCATGCACGCGGGTTACTATAATTTCTGCCTATGGTTTCTTGGAGAGTTTATGAACCTTTCCGTGACTGGAATTGTGTTTTAACTCCTGGATGCTACACAACAATAAAACTACTTACAAGGTTGCCCAGCTTTGAAGAGATTACAAAATAAGACATGGTCCCTGCCCCACAGGTACTCAGAGTCACATAGGGAGAACAAACATTTAACATGAAATAACACAATAAAACCTTGCAAGTGTTGTCACACATATCTACATAGAGCATGGGGGTAGCAAATGAGGGAAAGGTCACCCAACTTAACTGTAGCTCAGAGATAGCCAGGTGTCTCTCAGCAGTAGAGCCAGTGGAGTTTAGGATGGAAATTTTTAGCTCTCAAATCAATTACAAAGAGCAACCTGTGGACAGGATGAAGTAGAAAATTCAAATTTCCTCCTCAAGCTGATCAAACATCTATCACCTCTGAGGCTCACCTGAAGGTCAGGCAGTGGCCCACCAATTGAGGGCTTCCTCTCCTTCCCTGGCTGGGCTTCCTGCACTGGGCATGCCCTCCTTTCTACTTCAGTATCACCTAAACAGAGGAAATGGGTGCAGACTGAGGTGTTAGTGTAAGAGGACTCAGTACCAAATCATGTAAGCATGGAAGAGGAGACATGCGTGAATGCTAAATGAAGCCTGAAGTTAGAGAAGTGAAACAGAAATCCACCCCAGAGCTGCTGCAGTATTATAGCTGAGGTTTGCACTGAGTCTGCTACCCCCAGGCAAAGGGAGGACTTAACGTTTCCAAGCAGGACTGAAGCAATCACTTTGCTGATTTGTGCCAGTCAAGTGACTCACTCTCAAACCTGTTTAATATGAAACAGCATTAGGAGACTGGATATAGCCTCAGGGAGATCAGCTGCTAACCAGCTCAGATTATAGCTTCAGTCCCTCAAACACGGCCATTTAGTGTATCTCCACGTCTTCAGTGGCACACAGCGCTGTGCAGGAAAGGGACTGTCCTTGAAGTAAAAAGATCAAAGTTCTGATTCCCATTCTGTAGCAGTTCTTGGACTTGGTCAGCTCCCCCTGAAAAATGATACCTTCCCTGCCTACCCACTGTGGTGGTTTTGTGAAGCGGATGAGAAATATTTGGGGAATTAAGTGAGATGATGAAAGTGGTGGAGCGCTGTATTTCAGGTATTATCATTACAAGCAAATATCATAACTCTCCTTTTACACTTCCACTGGAACTAGAGGGAATTTTTTAAATGGCAGAAATGAGGAAATAAAACACAATAGGAATTTTGCTTCGTGCCTTAATATCAACAGCATTGAAAGCACCAACTTAGCCAGTTACCGTACACTTTGTCATCCAGACAGTAAACTGGAGTCTTCTCAAGAAGTTCAGAGCTCCCCTCTTCAGTGTCACCTGGGCTATCAATTAGACCATCTCTGATATTTTGCAACAAGATCTTTAAAGAAATCTCTGGGAAATTTATGAAATCATGTCTCTCGTTTGCAATTCCATGGGCAGGAAAAGAAACAAAAGGATCTTCCTTTTTTTTTTTTCCTCACCTTCTTTTTTTATTTCTATCCCCATTTCCATCTCCCAGAGAAACTGGATGATATGGGTGAGGTGAGTGAGACACTTGCCTCGCATGAGAAATGTAATTGGGTGCCCAAAAAACTCAAAACATCAAGATAAGTATATCTTAATGAATAGTTTTTAAAAATGAAATTAATGCCAAAAGCCATGATGAACAGAATTTCAAAATTTTACATAAAGATCAGTGGCAGTGCCATGCCAAGACATTGAAGCCTGAGGCAAAAGGAAAAATCAGTAATACTGATCCTTTATTTTAAATTTGGTATTTTCTGCATCATGCATTTTTGCCTTCATTGTTCTTTCTCAGTGACGTCTGAAATTATAGTTTGCCTTAGAGTCCGTAGCATCTTAGATTTGGTTAAATGCTTTCCATGTGGTATGTGGAATGATCCTGGCTCTTGGCAATCCAACTCAGCTCAGCTTGCCCTCCCACCATTTCCTTTAAATATTTATTCAGGGGAAATCACCTTCCCTGCTCCTGAGCGAATACTCTGAGTCCATGGCTTTTCTCTTCACTCTTAAATAATAGACAAGTCCCTCAGTCATGTTAACTCACGAACACCGTCTCAGTTTAGCAATTACAATGCATAATCCCCTGAAACAATCAAAACCTCACAATTTCACTTAGCGGTAAATCTCCCCTCCACCAGCACAGGCCTGGCAGCTTGCAGTAGGAAAAGGGAAGCAGGGCCTTCTGGTCTCTATTCTCCCTACCTGTCCTCCTTACCCGCTCAATAGCTGCTGCTCTGTTCTTCCCCAAAATGTTAGGGGCTTGGTAAGGAGGAGGAGAAAGGGAGAGACCAGTTCTTACCTGGCTGTGGGTGGACACACGATGTTTACATATAATTAATTATATTTTTCTGTATGATTTATACATTCTAAAATTTCTTAATTTTTTTAAATGAACTGGGAGAAAGATTAAGGAGGAGGAAACGTAACTCTACATCAAAACAACCATTGCTGGATGGACTCTTGTCTTAACAATCTCTCCCTTTTTGTGTGCACACATACACACACATTTATTACAACCATTTTTGCTCTCCTGGCCTTCATTTTTATTGCTTCTATAGACCTATAAAAATAAAAGTTTGTCTAACTGGAGCTAAATTTCCTTGCCCTGTCACATGCTAGTTTATTTCTTATCCCTTCTGAACAAGGAAAGCAATATCCCACTGGTTTCTAATTTCTTCAAGAATAAATGGCCCTGGCCCGAATCCAGTCCACTCCCAGTCCCCTGGGAACTCGTCAAGAGAACTGGAACATCTCTGCCCTTGACCTCTAGGGCAGAAATCAACAAGAGCCCCACAGCAAGGAAAGCACTGTAAAAACAACAGTGTCACCAAAGGCAGAAAACACATCTTATACTCACCACTGAGAGTTCCACTGTACTGCCTGTCTCCAGGCACTGGAACTGAAGACAGAAGAATGTTGCAAGGCTAAACAGTTGTCCCCACTTTAATAGAAATAATTGCCATGATTGTTTAGCTTCACAATGCTGGCAATATATTGCTTATATCCTTGAGCAGCTCATTTTCCACAGCCAAGTCTTTAGTATTCTAATTTTATCTGTAGTATTTAAAACTGTCGTTCTATTTTGCTTTTCTAAGCTCTATAGACATTAGAACTGAAAAATAATTTGAATTCTCACACACTCCAAAAGCCCTGCCCAGATTCAAGATGTCTTAAGCAAAACCCATTTCCAACATGACAAGTTTCAGGATCATAAAGAGAGAACAACTAGCTATGGGTAGGTCTTGCAGATCAATCAACAAAGCACCTAGAGAGACCAATGCAGAGTCCAAGCCCCCTGACAATGGGGCTGGTTTCACAGGTGGGGAGTTTCCTGCAATAGCTGGCTGGGCCCTGGAAGGCAGAGCCTTGAGTGTGGGAGTAACAGAGGGTGGGAGGCAGAGTGACAGGCATCTGTCAGTTCCAGGAGTAAAGTAGGTAGGCACTCCCCTCACTCTCCTTCTCATATTCATCCCAACGGGATTAATACAATGATCAGAAAACGGAAGTGGATGAGACAAATAAAAAAAGTAAAATATGAAAAAAGTGAAGAACCTCACCAAGCAGAAATGAGATTCCACTGGACCCTGAAACTCAAATGGAGAAAAAGTAATCATATCTTTATTTGTAATAGTACTGATGACATTGTCACCAGTAGAATTCCAAGATATTTTCAATTAACTTTATGGTTGTAGCAAATATTTTGCAATATCATTTTTGCTCATCATTACTTTGAAATTATGATAATAATTAAATTTGTCACTAGATCTTGATATTTAATCTATTCATAAGCATATATAGATATACTACACATTTGTTTTAATATTTTGATACCTGTAGTTCAATAATTAGTTTCTTTGTGACCCTATGTATTTTATGACATAGATTTTAGAAAATTATTCTAACAAGAGATCCAAGGCTTCATCAGCCTGTCAAAGGTCCCTGGGGCAGGGGGTGGGGGAGGAGGTTAAGAACCCTTTCAGTAGACAATTTCAGACTAATTTGAGTATGCAGAATCCCATCAATCCAAATCCAAAATGTTTGAAAAAGATCTGGGGAAAAGGAGGAGGGAAGAGAGATAAAGATACAAAGTTAAGTACGCCTAAGGAGTATGCAATTCACTACGTTATTAAACAAGTTAAATTCCAGCTGAAGAGCATAGACTTAGGGATTCTCTTAGTAAAAAACCCAACTAAATAAGAAGGGATCTAGCTTGTCAAAGGGTGGGTGGTTCAGGAAAACTGATTCTAGGTGAACTTTAAATCCAGCATCCAGTACCCTAACTTCCAAAAAATAGTCCAAATCTATAAATAAATGGTACTCCCACATTTTCTCTACATCACTGATGTTAATTCAGTTGGGTAAGCATCCTTACAACCCTGGGAAGGATCCTAGAAGTAAACCTTTTATTGCCAACTTTTACTTAACCAAATTATTAAATTAACTAACATTCTCCATTCCTTCTCTAAAACTCACCAACTGGTCCCAAGGCACTCTGAGACCTTACAGTCAGTAGGCTTCTCTCTAGTACACTGGCACTTTCTCAAAACTCAATAAGAAAACAAACAATAATTAAAAATGGGCAAAACCACCCAATAATGAAGGCCTACTTAAATAGTTATCTCTCTGATAATACCACCCAATAATCAAGACAGTGTGTTATTGGCAGAAGGGGAGCCAAATGGATCAATGTAGAGAGAACCCAGAACAGAGTAGAGAACCCAGAAATAGATCCATACAGTATGCCCAACTGATTTTTTTAAATACCTTTTTAAAAGTTTTCAATTTACAGAAAAATTAAGATGGTACAAAGAGTTTCCATATACCCTGCTTCTTGTTTCCCTCACTATAAAACATCTTACATTAGTAAGATACAACTGTTACAGTTAAGCAACCAATATTGATAACATTATTATAAACTAATTGTTCCAGCGTTTTAAGATTAGTTGTAATATCTCCTTAGGCTCCTCTTGGATGTGACAATTTCTTAGACTTTTCTTGTGTTTCATGACCTTGAAAGCTTTAAGAAGTATTAGTCATATATATTGGTAGGATGCCCCACTACTAGAATTTGTCTGATGTTTTTCTCATGATAAGACTGGGATGATGGGTTATTGGGAGGAAGATTAAAGAAATAAAGTGCCGTTTTTATTACATCATATTAAGAGTAAATACAATCGGCATGATTTATGACTGTTGATATTGAGGTGATTACCTGGCTGAGGTACTGTTTGTCAGGTTTCTCCACTACATAAAAATAACTATAGTTACTTTTCCTCTGTTTCCAGACTGTTCTCTTTGGAAGGAAGTCACTATGCACAGCCCACATCTAAGGAGTGGAGAGTTAAGTTCCTCTCTTTGAGAGTAGAGCATCTGCATCAATTATTTGAAATTCTTCTCTATGGGAAATTGGTCTATTCTCCCCCATTTATTTATTGTTCATTCATTTATCTCAGTATGTACTCATAGGTATTTATTTTGTACTTTTGAGTACTATCCAATTCTACTTTATTTATTCAGCTGCTCGCATTATTCCAACCTTGGCCATTGGAAGCTCTTCTAGTAGGACACACCTTTGACATCCCCCAACAATGTGTTTTTGGTTTTTATTTAATCACTTCCTTACCTTCTGATACTACAAGATGCTCCCTGAATATCTTATGTATTTCCTGCCCATCCTAGACCATTTCTCTAAGACCCCTATTTCTTTTACTGGAGAATGATTATCAGAAGCCACAGTCTAGGCCCTGGGTATACCAGCTGCTACTGGGATGCCCATCTGGTTTTTGACAAACATTCAAAAGCTAGTCAGTGGAGGAAGGATAGCCATTTCAACAAATGGTGCTGTAGCAATTGGACATCCATAGCGAAAAAAAACCTCAACATAAAATTAACATTTTAACTCAAATTGAGCCAGAACGTAATAGAAAATATAATATTGCAAAACTTTAAAAAAATAGTAGCAAATCTTCAGAATCTAGGACTAAGCAAATAGTTCTTCAACCTAACACCAAGACCATAAAAGGAAAAATTAATAAATTGGGCCTCATCCAAATTAAAAACTTTGCTCTGTAAAAAGTTCTATCAAGAGAATGAAAAGACAAGCTATGGCAGACTGGGAGAGAATACTTGCAAACCACATATCTAACAAAAAACTAGTATCTAGAATATATAAAGAAACCTCAAACTCAACAGTGAAAAAGCAAACAATCTCATTGGAAAAGGGCAAAAAACATCACATACATTTCACCAAAAAAGTATATACAGGTAGTAAATAAGCACACAAGAAGATGTTCAATATCATTAGCCATCAGGGAAATGAAAATTTAAACCATAATGATGTATCACCACACAGATAAATGAAAACAATGTTCACACACTCACATGTGCACAAGTATTCCTAGTAGATTTTTTTTGTAATAGCTCCAAACTGGAAACAACCTAGATGTTCTTCAACAGGTGAACAATCAGGCAGACCATGGTACTTCCATTACATGAGATACTACTCAGCAATGAAAGGGAACACAGTAATGATACACATGACAACTTGGATGAATCCAGAGTACTATACAGAGATTAGTGGTTGCAGGGAGCTGAGGCTTGGAGGGAAAAGAGGGACAGACAGACTACAAAAAAGTAGCACAAGAGAATTTTGGAAGTTGATGGAAATATTCTGTATCTTGATTAGGGTAGTGGTTACATGACTGCAAGTGATTGTCAAAACTTGTAGGACTGAACACTCAGAAGGATAGATTTTACTGTATATGAATTTTAACGATTTTTTAAAACATGAGGAATAATAGAAGCTTTTTAAACCAATTTCTACTTAGCTCAATTAGTAAATTAACCAACATTCTCCATCCCTTCTATAAAATATATCGACTAGTCCCTCTCTAGTAGCCCGGCATTTTCTGCTCCCACCAGTTGAGCTCAACACATAACCACGATTCAGTTGTGTTTGTTCCCAAACCTACAGGTGTTAGTTGTGCCTGTTCTTATATGAAATAAGTCCATGAAATATGAGTGTGGAAAGGAAGAGCTGTTTCTATGAAAATTAGGATCAATGCTTTGGAAAGACTAGTTAATGGCAGCTTGCTAAAAAAAAAATTCTTAAACTTAAAGTGGACAAGACAGTTAATGAAAGTTCACAAGGAAATGTAAAAATCTAAAATCAACCCAACTTCCATTGGTTTGCAAGTATCTTAAAGCTTTTGCTCCACATTAACATAATCCAAACTAGAAATCATAAGAGGATACATGAGTGCTTTATGCAACAAAGATGTCTTGGAACTCCAATAACAGACTCATACTCAAAGAAAGGGTGTGGCAAATTAATATATATTTATGGATTTTTTAAATTAAAGTATCAGTGATAAACAATCTTACATTGGTTCCAAATACACAACAGTGGTTCAACAGTTACCCATATTATTAAATCCTCAGCCCCTCTAGGGCAGTCACTATTATCAATGTAGTAAGATGTTACAGGATCATTAACTGTATTCTCCATGCTGTACATCCACCCCTGTGACCAACCTACATAGTGATTGAGAATTATTGTGCCCCTTTATCCCTTTCCCCTCCTCCACTAACCTCCCCAGCCCTCCCCCTTGGTAACCACTAGTCCCTTCTTGACGTCTGTGAGTCTACTGCTGTTTTGTTCCTTCTGTCTTGCTTTGTTTTTGTACTCCACAAATAAGTGAAATCGTTTGGTATTTGTCTTTCTCTACCTGGCTTATTTCACTGAGCATAATACTCTCTAGATCCATCCATGTTGTTGCAAATGGGAGGATTTCTTTTCTTATTATGGTTGAATAATATTCCATTGTGTATATGTACCACATCTTCTTTATCCATTCATCTACTGATGGACACTGAGGTTGCGTCTATATCTTGGCTATTGCAAATAGTGCAGCAATGAAATAGGGCTGCGTATGTCTTTTTGAATCAGAGATCTTGTTTTCNTATATATATATATATATATATATATTTGTGTTTTAAACTCAACAGTTATATTTTCTAAGCACTTAATTTAAAATGTTAGACCGTGTATGAAATATTATTTATGATTCCTCACTTTAGCTGAATTTTTCTACTAGCCAGACTTACACAGTCTCTCAATAAGAGTGAAGTGACTCAAACCTAAGATTAACATTTTTTGCATTGAGTTCAAGAATAAGCTATCTTTTAATCATCTTGGCAATTTGGGTGTATTTTGTTTAACAGATGGAGTATATGAAATGTTGAATTTAGACTTGTGATTTTAATTTGAAATGTTTAAAGGAATTTAACTGATAGCAGATTGGGAATTTAAATTTGAGATGTGTAAAAGTTGAATTGATTATGTATGTAAACTAGATTTGAATTTTTCAGAGAATGTGAGGTACTAAATCTATAACTTTTGAGTTATTAGGCTTGTAAACAGAGTTTAAGTGCTTAGAAATATTGGTTTATTAGATCTGTAAGCCTGCTTGATTAATGTTTTCAGTGATTTAGAGAATCAGATATATTACATTTGTAGTTGTATTTTGAAATATCTAAGAATTCAATCAAGTTAGTAATAAATGTTTGGAGAATTTAATTGATTATACTTATACATTGATTTTAAGTTATAACAGAATATTGTATTTATAAATAAAATTATAAGACGTAATGTTAAGCTTAAAAGCCTAAGGAAAACTAGATTTTAAAACTGGATATCTTTAATAAAAATGGCATTAATTAAACAAAAGTAGTTCTAAGTGTTCATTTTTGTTTTCTTTCTGTATACAAAACCTTGTCTTGTACATTAAAAAACACAAATGATGAAATAATGAAAGAATCAACTTCTCCCACATAGTGATTCTCACAAAAACCATCTCCTTAATATTCAAGTAAAGAAAATCAAGCACTTTCTGCAAGAGTTACCATATTGCACTGCTAGATATATAACCAAAAGAAATGAAGGTATATGTACAATACAAAGACTTACACATGAATGTTCATAGTAGCCTTGTTTATAATAGCCAAAACTGGAAGCAACCCAAATGGCCATTAGCAGGTGAATGGATAAATGAACTGTAGTATAGCCATATAATAGAACATTATTCAGCAATAAAAAGGAATAAAGTACTGATTTGTGAATTGGTACAACATAGATGAACCTTGAAAACATACTACATGTATGAAAGAAGCCAGATACAAAAGTCACATGTCATGGAGCTCTATTTATATGAAACATCCAGAATATTTATCAATCCAGAAAGTAGGTCAGTAGTTGTGGTTAGGAGAGAGGATACAGGGAAATGGAGAGTGGCCTAACAGGAATGGGGTTTCTTTTTGAGTTGATGAAAATGTTCTAAAATTGATTTGGATGATGATTGCACAGCTCTGTGAATATACCTAGAAACACTGAATTTTATATTTTAAATAGATAAATTATATGGTATGTAAATTATGTCTAAACGATGTTACAGAAAGGAAGGAAGGGAGGGAAGGGAAAGATGAGAGGAGGAAAACAAAAAGAAAAACAAGAAAGAAAAACCCAAACTTCAAACTTTTAAGATTTCCCAAAATAATCACATTCCCCCTGCAAGGAAACCATATATCCAGAATCTCTTGCATCTATATTTAACCCCTCTGTTGCGGCTGTCCTGCTTCTTCACATTGTGTTCTTCTAAATTAAAATCTTGTGTGGTACATTTGACTGAGCTTCAGCCATATACCCCACCTTAGCTGCAAAGGAGGTAGGGAAAGTGAGTTCTGGCTTCCACTTTAGGAGTCAGGACTCCTAACAGTTGAGATTTCCCAAATAAAGGAAAGCTATTCAACAGCTGCTGAGAAAGTATAAGAACATGACAACTATTTGCTATGCTCAGCCACATGTGGAAAGTGAGTTAAAAGGAAGCAAGATGGGCAGCAGAAGGACCAGTTAGGTGGCTGGTGCAGCCCATCAAGAGAGATGGTGATGACATGGACTCCCAGTTACTGAGGGAGCAGTAATAAAGGCAGAGAGGAGCAATGTAAAAGAAAAGTCAGAACTTGAAGCTTTGCTCCATAAGAAAGATGAGGGAGCAAGATTTTTCTCTTTATCAATGATTTTGAACAATTTGATTATGATATGCTTTCATGTGGTTTTCTTTATGTTTCTCGTGTTTAGGGTGTGTTGATATTCTTAGATCTGTGAATATTCATCCAAAATGTATAATATTCATACATTTTGGAAATTTGGGACCATTATTTATCCAAATATTTTTTGTCTCCATCTCTCTCCTTTGGATATTCCATTTACACATATATTAGGCCACTTGAAATTGTCCCACAGCTCATTGATGCTCTTTTCATTTTTTTAAATCATTTTTTTCCCTGTGTATCTTTCATTTTGGTAATTTCTATTAGTATGACTTCAAGTTCACTAATCTTTACTTTGTCCATGTCGAATCTGCCATTGATCCTATCCAATGTATTTTTATTTAGACATTGTAGTCTTCATCTCTAGAAGTATAATTTGGATCTTTTTATATCTTTCATGTCTTTGCTTAACTTTTTGAATATTTGGAATATAGTTACGGTAACTTCTTTTTCCTTTTTTTATTTTGGTATCATTGATAAACAATTACATGAGTGACATTGTGGTTACTAGATTCCCCCCATTATGAAGTCCCCATCATATACCCCATTTTAGTCAGTTACAGTAACTTTTAATGTCCTTGTCTGGTAATTCTAACATCTGTGACATTTCTGGATATGCTTTTGAATGACTGACTTCTCTTTATTATGGGTTGTATTTTATTAAATATTATTAAATCTCTGGTTTTATTATAAGTTTATGAGAAACACAGGGGCAAAGGAACATGTTAACATCACAGGGGTGCAATCAGCAAAATGCAGAATGTGGGAAACTACACAGAACAAACAATTTCTTCAAAATATAAAGTGCAAGAAAAGAATTTCAGAGATTTTAACCAAATGCGGTAACCTTGTTTGATTCCTGACCTGAAGAAATTAACTAAAACACTGATGAGAATATTGGGAAAAGTTGAACACTAACTAGATGTTGAAAAATTGTTAATTTTTAAAGATGTTTTAATGATTTTTGTGCTTGTTTTTAAAAACAGACTATGTTGTTTAGAGATACATAGTGAAATATATATGGGTGAAACAGTATGATTCCTGTGAATTGCTTCAAAATAATCCAAGAAGGGAAAGAGGAGGTGAGAGTGCAAATGGAACAAACTGGTCAACAGCAATTATTGAAACTGAGTAATAAGTAAATAGTAGTTCATTATATTATTCCCTCTATTTTTGCAATATTTTATATTTTTTCACAATTAAAAAATCAGGTACTCTCTTCTCTGAGCAGATTTGCCCTCCTCTGTCTCAACACCTAATAGAATTGTGCTCAGGAATGTTCTCCTCCCATCCAAATAAGTGAAACACTCATTTACTTCCAAATCTTTCTTCCTAATTCAGCCATAAACCCTCGAGAGCAAAGATTGTGTCTTATTCATTTCCTATTCTTTGTATCTCCACCACCAGCCACAGAGCCAGAGTGCTCAGTAATTGTGGCTAATTGGCAGTATTCTAGCCACAATTCATAACAGGGAGGCTGACGCCATCATATTGATTCAAATTTCTTGTTAAGTGTTGTATCCTTTATAAATCTGAGTCATACTGCATGTAAATATATGACAAAGGAACCAAAGGAATCCTTATGTAAAAACCCAAGCAATAAAACTGTTAAAAGACAAATCAGATCTAGCAGGGACTGGCAGGGTGTCCAGTGCTGAAATTGTTTTGTAGTTCTCTATGTACTTCCTCTTCTTACAAGTATGCATTTCACTGTGACCTTTGCAAAGTCCTTCTGTCCTTCCCTGACTTCCTCACAGGACTGCTCTAAGTCTCAAATAAGATACCATATTGCATGTGAAAGGGCTTTTTTAAAACTGGAAAGCAGTGTAAACTTTAACGTATAATGGCTTCTTTCCACGGCATCAAGACATCTCCCAGAACACATAATTTCAGCTTTTGAAAGAATTGATCTTGAATGAAATCCTTCAGCAGACAAAGCCTGGTTTGACTTTATATGTTATCTACCTTTATATGTATTTTTTTTCTTTCCTTGCAGTATAAATACACACATGACACCTGTTATACAACTGGTGCTGTGCTAGAGTGAGAACAGCCAGGTGCCCAGGACCTATTCTCACAGGACACCTAATTCCTTAGCTCCTAGGTGCTTCTTACTCATCCTGTTCAATCTCCTGATTGATTGGCTTCTTTATTATTTATATACTTATATATTTATTGATTTATCTTTTTAATGAAGAATTTTACAAAGTACTCTTAATTGGAGGTTCCTAATTCTGGGGAAATTTCCGTTTTACAAATGTGTTCTTAGGAAGGGCATGATTATGGGCAGGTGGCCTTTGAGTTCCTGGGGTAGATACGTGTAGGTCAGTTTCAGGAGGTCCTTCCCGGGCTGTCTTCCCTGCTATTGATGAGGTTATGCTCTAAGCCAGATCATTTTACATGGCACTAAATCTGGTGGGCTTTCTGTATTTGTGTTATATTTAACAATAAGTTAAAAATAAATATTACTTCTTTCAAAATTCAGTTTGTTCTCTACTTCACAACGAAATGTAGGGCGGTGCGGGCCACTGGAAGGATCAGAATGACCGGGAATGTCTGGTCAGCAGCGAGGGCTGTCTCTGGCTCCAGTGGACCATCCGGTCCGCTTGGGGAGGGTAAAACAAATAATGATGATAACAGTAACTACAACGATAACAATCACAATAAAATAAAAGCACAGTAATAACAAATCCGAGCGAGAGACTCGCATCCGGCAAACGACAAACAGCAGTAAGCACTACAAATCGCGTCCCCGCGGAGCCGCCACGCGAGGGACCGAACCCGCGGCACCCACTGCGTCTTTCTCTCACATACACACTCTCTCACACACGCTCTCTCACGGCTCTTGGCGGTGGGCGCCTTTCCCGGCCGGGACAGCGGTGTGGGCGGGGCCTGGAGGGCGGGGCGGGGCCTGGCTGCGAGGGCGGCACGGCGGAAGGTGGGGCGAGGGGAGGGGAGGTGGGGGCGGTCGCGCGGCTGGGCGGGGCGCGCTCGGGCCTCAGCCTCTCACTCGCCGCCCTCGCAGCCCCAGATCCCGCGCCGCCGGGAGCGCGGGCTGAAGTGCAGCTTCTGAGCTGAGGCCGCCTCCGGAGGAGGAGCCGCGAGCACTGAGGTAGGCGCGGAGACGGCCGCCGCGCGGCCGGAGCCCTCGCGCCCCCAGCCGGGCCCGAAGGCTGTGATGAGGCCGGGGGGCGGTGCGCAGAGGCCCGGGCGGGCGGGGCCGGGGCCTGGGGGCGGGGATCGGCCTGCCCGGAGGGGCCGGAGGGGCCGCGCGGCGCTGGCTAGGCTGGTAGAGCCGTGGGGGTCGGGGTTCGAGTCAATGCGGGCGCCTGTGCACGCCCAGCTCAGTCCCTGGCCGTGGCAGCCCGGGAGGTGTGGAAACCGCCTGGCCGGGGCGCCCAAGGAGGAGGGAAGGCGGGGGACGGCCTGGTCCCTCCCACTTTCGGGGCTCTTAGGCCGGTTCGCTCGCACAGCCCTCGGGAACTTATTAACAGGAACTCTTGGCAGAGGAACAAATGCCAACGTTTTGGAAGAACTGAGAGTCACGTCGTTAGGCGCTGAGGCTTTATTTTCCTTCCCCGCCCCCTGCCCAACCTCGGCCCGACTTGGCCAAAGAAGGATGTGTCACCAGCTCGGGGCCCGGGGCGGGATCCCGGCCCGGCTGGGAGCGAGGGTACCTGAGACAAAGGTAAACGGAGGCCGGGGTCTGCCCCGCCCTGCCCTGCCCTGCGGCCGCCCTGGTGGGTCTCTCTCGGCTGACCCCGGCCTCCGCCTCGGAGGGGCTTTCTCCTGGGGGACTATCGATGGAAACCAGCTGGCCGGCTTGGCGTTGGTTGGCGCATCTGAACTCTGTTGTGCTCATATTATTCCCAATCCTCCTACTCTCGGAAAGCTTAAGGAAATTTTATCCAGTTTTAGTGGTCAGCAAATGTAAGGGAGGATAAACTGCTGTTTGTAAATTATAAGGTATTTTCTTCTTAGGAAATGGTCTGGAAACTCGAAATAAAAATCCTTAACACGTAAGCAAAAACAGCGTGATTTGTAGTGCCATCCAAAATCTGAGCAAATGTTTCTCCTCAGATCATTTATGTACAAAACATCCCCCCAACCTTTGGTGCCAGGCATTTTTCTTTGTTCTTCATTAGTCTCAGGCCTCAGTTTCTTGTAAACAGAGCACCCAGAGCTCAGACCCTAAGGATTGCCATACTAGGTCAGAGCCTGTGCATCCAGCTCAGTAGACAGCAGGCTTGTGCTGTAATGAAACACGGTTTTCTTTCTTGGTGATACCATTAAAAATTACCTTTATTTTGTTCTTTTCAGTAGTACCCATGATATTTAGTGAGAGCCTTTTAAAAATCTGTAGACCAGACCTAATTTATACATAGAATTTATTCACATTTATTGCATCCAAATGGCTCTCCTATCCTCTCAGCAGAAGAACTTAAAACATGAAATACTTGTAGAAAAAAACAAATCTTTTGTAAATCTGGGAGCTCAGAAATTGAGAACCAGAAAACAATTTTTTTTAAATAGAAAGCTTTGGAGAAGTCTTTACCAGGACCAACCTGGCTGTTGAGTTCAAAGATAGCTTTATCTACTAACAGTCTGAACATTAAGCAGTTAAAGATTTATTTGTATTCATTAATATTTGCATATTTTAAAATACTGTTTAACATTTTGGAGAGTGAAGGAGCTATCAGACTTTATCTTAGTCTGAACTAATGGCCTTAATGTTTAGTTGAAATCAGCTACCCTAAGAGAATGAGTTTTGTTTCAGCAAAAAGGGAGTAAAGAAGATGAGTGATTTTGAAATATGGGGCACTTGAGGGGGTTACTTATTCAAACCATAACTTTGCTTTTAAATTTGTCATAGGCTCCCATTACCCCTTGCAAGCATAGTCTCCACTGATATGGCTCTTGCCACCTTTCACCACACAGCTAAAGCATTACTTCCTTTCTGGAGCTTTTCTTGACACATAACAACCCCAACCTTGTTACCCGCAAGACAAAACATCAACAATAAAACACTGCCTGATTTGAATCGGTCATCCTTGTGGATCTTACCATTCTCTAAATTATTTGGACTAGATAATTAGATAATTCTTTGTTGTGAAGGGCTATCCTGTGGTTGTAGGATGTTTAGTGACATTCCTAACCTCTTCTTAATAGATACCAGTGTTACCTCCCCTCTGCACAGTTGTGACAAAGTCACACAACTTGCACCATTGTGACTATCAAAAATGCCTCCAGACAGCTGTATGTCCCCTAGGAGAGCCAGAATCATCCCTGGTTGAGAACCACTGTTCTAAATAGACTGCTGGCTGAACACCAGTGACACTGCATAGCCCTCATTTGCTTATGTGCTGATTTTCTCTACTGTCCTATCCTGAGAGCAGGAACATTCGTCATTTACTTAACAAATATCTGAGGGCCTACTTTGCCAGCTAGACACAGTTTAAGTCTCAGAATACAGTGGTAAAATCAACTGATGTGGTGTCTGCACTCCTGGACATTACAGTCTAAAGAAAGTGACAGATGCATACGTATAAAATGATACAGTTACCTCATTACAGTTGTAACAAATTCTGGGAGGAGTACATAGAACAGGGGTCCTGACCTGGTTTAGAAACCAGGAAGTTTCCTTGGGAAATGACATTTATGGTGAAGTGGACTCTGAAGGATAAATAGAAGTTACAAGGTGAAGCTCAGAGGGACAATATTCCAGGCAGAAGAAACAAAGGCCAGTGTGGTTGGAGCTGGAGAGTGCTAAGACAGGATGTACAAAATGAAGCTCAGAAAGTAAGCAAAGACTGTCTTAAGCAGCAGGTCTCAGTCCAGCCTGCTCATCAGAATCACAAGAGGAACTTAAGACCATATTAGTGCCTGGACCATGCTCCAGGCTCATTAAATCAGAATGTCTTCAGTGGGTCCTACTCCTTCTCCCAGCTGCCATTTTCCCTCCACTTTTCAAAGGGATAACCACTGTACTAGTTTTGTGTATCATTCTAGACATTTTCTGTGGGCATTCTTTATTCCTGTTTATGCAAATGGTAGCATACTGCATACAGTTTTGTTTTATTTCATTCTCAAGTGTCTTGGAAATGATTCCATTTTAATATATAGTTTCCTATTATTTTGAATGACTGTATATTATTCCATTGTGTTGATATACCACAGATTATTTAACCATTCCACTATTAATGAGCATTCAAATGGTTTCCAGTTATTTATTATAACAAACAGTACTATGCACATGCCAATACACATGCATGTGAATAAATGTGTAGGATAAATTCCTAGAAGTGAAATTACTGGGTCAAATACGTGGACACACATTTATTTGTAAGTATTTGTGTTTATGAAAGATCTTCTCAGAAGACTGGAGAGAATGGTTTGAAAGGAAAAGAGTAAATGTGAGAGACAACTAACCCCAGTTAAGGTTACTGTGTGCTATAGAATGAATTGTGTCCTCTCCAAATGGATATTTTGAAGCCCTAACCCCCAGTGTGACTTTATTTGGAGATAGTGTCTTTAGATGGTAACTAAGGCTAAATGAAGTCATAAAGGTGGGGCCCTGATCAGATAAACTTGGCAGCCTTATAAGAAGAGGAGGGAGGAAAGGCCATGTGAGTGCACAGTGAGAAAGTGGTCATCTGCAAGCCAGGAAGAGAGTCCTCACCAAAAACCGACCCTGCTGGACCTTGATCTGGGACTTCTGCCCACCAGAACTGAGAAAATAAATCTGTTATTTAAGCCATCTGGTTTATGGTATTTTGTTATGGCAGCCTGAGCCAGCTAATACACTGTAGAAGGTAGGAGAGAAAAGATGGTAGCTGGGACCAAGGTGGTAGCAGAGAAGATGAAGAGAAGTAGATGGAGTCAGGAGACATATTAAGGAGGCATAATTGATAGGACTCAGTGATTGATATGTACAAGCAGTGAGAGAAAGAAGTAAGTGCGTAGGATGACTCCCAGGGCTCTGGCTTGCCCAACAAGGTGAATGGTGGTGGTGTTACCTGAGATAGAGAACACTGGATAGATAAATAGTTCTAAGGTGGCTTTAAATCACAGTTCTCTTTAGGACCAGTGAGGCCTCCAAGTGGAGATTGCACATAAGCATTCAGTAATTCAAACACAGAGCCTAGAGGAGTGGGCTGAAGTGGGGACACAAATATTTAGGTATGAATTGAAGAGTGTGGATGGAATTACCCAGGGTAGATGTTATGAACCCATAGTCCACAGTGGAATCTGGCTTACAGATGTGTTTTGTTTTTCCCATGCCATGGTTTTGGTTGCTGTTTAATTTTGAGCTGGTTGCCAATAATTTAAAATTTGAAGATTTTCCATGAAAATCCATATTTGGGGCTTTTCTTGAAAAATGAGAGGATGTAGCACTACTGAGCTGCCCTTCCCATATGGCAACAGTTGATGGGAGCTAAGTCATCACTTACTGAACTGCTCTCTAGTTCACCAAAGAGCCTACCACTTCTTGAAATTTATGCCTGGGCTGCTTTGTTTAGTTACTTCTCTGATCTTATAGGCATTTGACTACTCTAGGAAGAGAGTACAAAAGAGTGATTCTCATTTTGGCTGCATTGGAAACACTGGATGATTGAAAAATACTGGTGCTAGAGCCCACTGCAGAAATTTCTGTTTTTGTTTACTTGGTCTGAATTGCAGCCTGGGACTTTTTAAACTCCTCAGGTGATTCCAGTGAGTGGTGGAAGTTGAGAACCATTGGTAGAGATTAAGAAGAGGAGGGCTCAAGCCCAGCATCTCAAAGTTGGGTAAAGGAGAGTAGCCTCAGGAAAAGGATGAGAAGCGGGCAGAGAAGTAGTGAAGAATGGCCCCTTGTTTGCAGTTAAGATATACAAACTTAACCCAGTACACTTGAGGGTGTTTTTAATCAGATGAGAGAGAGTGAAGCTTTCTTTTGCTTGTATACTTACTGTTTATTTTACATGTATATGGTGTTTATTACTGCAGAGAGTTATGTACACAAAAAACAGATAATGCTTTGCTTAATGGGCCATTTAAAAGATTTTCAAGAGTAATTTAAACTATACTTGACTTTTGTCTTAGGTGCTTACTTTAGAATCTAATTCCAGTTTA